GGGGAGGGGAGGGGGAGAGCCCCTGTGACCTCCTTCCATCCTCAGCTGAGCAAGGAATATGGCTCCATGTACACCGTGTACCTGGGGCCCAGGAGAGTCGTGGTACTCAGCGGGTACCAAACGGTAAAGGAGGCGCTGGTGGACCAGGGGGAGGAGTTCAGTGGCCGTGGAGATTATCCAGTGTTTTTCAACTTTACTAAGGGGAATGGTAAGCCTCCTCCTTTCTCCACCATTCTCTAAGCTTCTCCTCCCCACCCCCGTCACTCCAGAACCTTGAATGGCACCTCCATCCCAATCCCCATCACTATCCAACTCCAGTTTTGTGCTTAAGACAGGTGCTTTGCCACATGAGCCAAGCTCCACTTCTGGCTTTTTTGTGGTTCATTAGACATAAAAGTCTCCCAGACTTTCCTACCCAGGCTGGCTTTGAACCATGATCCTCAGATCTCAGCCTCCTGAGTAGCTAGGATGACAGGTGGGAGCCACCAGCATCCAGCAGTCATGGGGTCCTTAAAGAAATAGTTAGAATGTTCAGAAGTGGGGAAAGGAAAGCCCACGGCCTCGTGAAAACTCCAAGAAAACAACCTGGCTCAGCCTGGAGGGTCAGGGCTGGTTCCCTGGAAAGAGACTCAGTCTCCCTTCCAGCAAACACCAGGAAAAGGGGGGTTCAGGGGCTCAGTTGTCCACTGAGCTAAGCACTGCTCCTCTCCCCAGGCATCGCTTTCTCCAATGGAGAACGGTGGAAGGCCCTGAGAAAGTTCTCTGTCCAGATACTACGGAACTTTGGGATGGGAAAGAGAAGCATTGAGGAGCGGATCCTGGAGGAAAGCAGCTTCCTGTTGGAGTCCCTGCAGAATACACAAGGTGGGTGGGGGGCGGAGGGTTCTTAATGAATGCAGTCTGCACCCCTAACCCACACCCATCCTTCTCAGTAGGCACTGTGGTGAATGCAAGACTTCTGAAGGGGCCTTTCTTGCCTCATTATGAGAATAGCGCCCCTAGAGGAGGGTCCACTTATGACCAAGATTTCAGGCATGAGTCACCAGCACCTGGCTCTCCCATAATTATTATTTTCTTTTTTTTTTAACTTTCTTTTTTATTCTCTTCATTCTTTTTTTGTGGGGGTGGGGGATCGGTCACAGGGCTTGAACTCAGAGCCTGGTACTGTCCCTGAGCTCTTTTGCTCAAGGCTGGTGTTCTAGCACTTTGAGCCACAGTGCGGCTTTTGGCTTTTTCCGTAATTAATTGGAAATAAGAGTCTCATGACTTTCCTGCCCAGGCTCCCGATGAACTGTGATTCTCAGATTTCAGCCTCTTAAGTAACTAGAATTACAGGCATGAGCCACCAGCACCTGGCTCTCCCCATTCTTTATCACATCTGCAAAGTCACTTTAACTATGAGAAACAAGACGTGGGTTGTAGTGAAGGAGACATCAACGTTTTGGTGGGGGGAAGGGGAGCATTATTCTACAGTCTCCTAATCGGTCAGATCTTATCAGGAGTTTCCACCCTTGAACACTGAAGTCTTCTAACAGCCTCACAAAGAGGCAGGGCACTGCCGTGAAGCCCATTTGACAAGAGAAAAGTTTCAGAGAAAGAGATTCATTCTGTCCCAGGTCACCTCAGGACTTAGGAGAGCCCAAGCCAACCCTCAAATTAAGTCCCTTTAACTTCAGACTGGGCTGGGACTAGTGGGTCTTGGTGGCTCTGTTGAGATGGGTTCCTCTGCTCTTGTTGGGTGTGGTCTGTTTGGCTGTCGGAGGTTTGGAGGATTGTGTTCCTGTGTGTGGGTAAGTGTGTGCACTGTGAGATTGCTGCTGTGTTCTGTGAAGTCTGATCATCTGGAATGGGCTGTGTGGTCTCAGGCACAGCCTGTTTTGTTGGTATCGTCTTGTTGAGATTTGCAGAATGTTGTGGTTTTCAGATGCCCAGCCTGTTGCCAGATATTTTTTGGGTCTGGTATACGGCTTGTATGCTGGGTGGCCATGTGGGTGCTGCAAGATGTGGACTTGGTCAATGGTTGCATGGCCAGCGTGGCAATTCCAGCTGTGGTTGCATGGGTTTGAGGGCCTTGGGTGGCGCGGGGTGTCTTCCCAAATCCGCGGCTCCCACCTTCTCCCGCCTTCTCCACGCTTCAGGCGAGCCCTTCGACCCAGTGTTCGTGCTGAGCCGCTCCGTGTCCAACATCATCTGTTCTGTGATCTTCGGCCACCGTTTCGATTACAGCGACGAGCGTTTGCTGGCCATTATCCGCTTCATCAATGACAACTTCCAGATCATGAGCAGCCCCTGGGGCGAGGTCAGTCAGCAGAGTGAGAGATGGGAGAGAGCTGTGCTGGGGCTGGGGTGGGAGGAGGTGTGGTTCCCGGTATTTAAACACAAATTGGAAATAGCCAGCAGAGAAGGGACCACCAAAGAACAGGTCTGGCCACGCCCCCACTGGCCATGCTCTTGGAGAAGGGACTTCCCCTAGCCCAGGCACCCCACCCCTATGCTTATCTAACTGCTCCAATATGGCCATGCTCACTAGAGAAGGACCAGCCCTGACTCAATCTGGACACCCCTGTTTTGTGTGGCCACGCCCCCTTTGACCACGCCCCTTTCGCGGACCCAGTAGGGACACCCAGTTCTTATTTGGCCACATCCCTCTGCAGAAGAAACCTTAACTGACCCAGTCTACCAACTCGCCAGCTCTGCCACACACATCCCTAAAGTGGCTTAAAGCTCTTCATTTACCCGATGTCCTCTTCCCCTAACTTCATTCATTCCCCCCAAAATACCATCCTAATGCTGTTGGTTAACTCATGCCTGTAATCTTAGTACTCAGCAGGTTGACATTTGAGAAATCCAGTTCAAAGCCAGCCTAGACCAAAAAAGTCTATGAGACTCGTATTTCTCATTAACCAACCAAATAGCCAAAAAGAAGTGTGTTGAAGTGGTAGAGAGCTAACTTTGAGCGTAGAAGTTCAGGGACAGTGGCCAGGCCCTGAGTTCAAGACCCAGGGGAGGCAGCAGGCACGAGAAACAAGAAAACTCTGCCTGCTCCTCCAAGCCCTTCCCACTCTTCCCACTCCCCAGCTATACAACATCTTCCCGGGTCTTCTGGACTGGCTGCCTGTGGGATCGCACCGACGAATGTTCCAGAACTTCAGAGGTATGAAAGATCTGATCGCTCGCAGCATCCGTGAACACCAGGCTACCCTAGACCCCGACAACCCCCGGGACTTCATCGATTGTTTCCTCACCAAGATGGCACAGGTAATCCTCAGCTTGGAGATCACACCTTTAGTCTAGCCTGAAACCAACCCTCTTGCTACCCTGGCCTCAAACCTCCAGGGATCCCAGATTAGGCAAGGGCTGGGGGACTTGGCACTGCTGAGAGTGCCAATTAACAGCTCATTAAGACCTTGCCACTGTCTAATTCATCCTGGAGCCTGAGGCTGAGATTTTCTCTATCTGGCCTTTGCACCTCCCCAAACCACCCCCCACCCATCTTCCTGGAAAGGGAACTGGGGAATGAGCCAACCTGGCACCCAGTAGCATTGGCGGCACCGGCTGGGGAATGGGATCCCCTGGCCCTGGCCTGTACCATCATATGTCAACCTCTGCAGGAGAAGAAGGACCCGCTCACCCACTTCCAAATGGACACCCTGCTGATGACCACACATAACCTCCTTTTCGGTGGCACCGAGACAGTGGGCACCACGCTGCGCCATGCCTTCCTCATACTAATGAAATACCCCAAAATTCAAGGTGCTGCCCCCCTGCCAGCTAGCCCTGAGTCCTATCCACATAGTGCTAACGCCTGAGGTGGCCCAGCCAAACCCTTAGGGGTCCACACCTGCTACCAAGGATCCTACCCACGCTGCAGTGGTCGCGCCTATGACCACTTTTCTAGGTCCTCCCCCAGCCCTGCCCAAAGCCACGCCCCAATACTAACCACGCCCACATGTCCCATGTAAAGCCACACCCCTAACCATGCCCCTGACCACCCCTCCAACCATATCTCCCAATTGATGCCTGTGGCCTCATACCCAATCCATCTCTCCAGCCGGGCCCCTAACTACGCCTCCCAAGTCCCCACCTTGGGGCAAGTCCAAGACTCACCCCCCCCCCCATTGTCTTACCTCATCCACAAAGCCCTGTCTGCAACTCCCAACTCCTGAGGTCCAGCCTCTGGGTAGATCCCCAAGTTTCTTTCCTGCCTCACCCAATACACACACAGGCGTGCACCATCCAACCACTGTACCCATCAGTCAACCAGCCCTGGAAGCCCCGCCCAGAATCCCAGGTGCACCGGAAGTCCCACCCACAAAGCATGACACTGGCACCCGGGCTCCCCCCTGCTTTTTGCACTCACACACACACACACACACACACTGCAGCAGTAGCCCCTCTCGTGCACCTTGCACACGCCTGGTGCCCAGCCCCTCCCCGCCTTCCCTCCTCTGCCTCCAGCCCGCGTGCAGGAAGAGATCGACGCCGTGGTGGGCCGCTCGCGACAGCCCACGCTGGAGGACCGCGCGGCCATGCCCTACACCGATGCCGTGATCCACGAGGTGCAGCGCTTCGCTGACGTCATCCCCATGAACCTGCCGCACCGCGTCATCAAGGACACGGCCTTCCGCGGCTTCCTGATACCCAAGGTGTGCTAGGCACCTGGCCCACGACTTCCCGCGCTTACAGCTGGCCGTGGGCTCCCTAGGACATGGCCACCAGTGCCCTAAGGCCTTAGCAAGAAAGCATCCCAAGCCCTAGCATTGCAGCTCTGAGATCCTTAAATCTACAACTGCAGCCTCTTCCCAGGACCTCATCTCACACCCGAGTGCACTAGGGCCTGTCCTTAATCGCACACCCCTTTCCTGCCCTAGACCTCCTTCTTGGGGCTCATCTTTCCAATCCACAGGGTTTGGGACTTAATCCTAGTAGCCCAAAAC